CCTGAGCAAGCTTTCCGTGAATTGAAGCCAGCGGACAAAAAACTTTCATGTCCAACAAATGAGGTTCCAGCATTCTTCAATCGGTCTTCTGCTGAAAAGGCCGCGCAGTACTTGCTGACAAGCTTGGGGTCTTCACAAAGCTGCTTCAGTTCCCGTGGCATCCCGGGCAACAGCACACTAAGTAATCAGTGCTGAGTTGAGAAGCCCAAACAGCTTCCAAAAGGCTCTATCAGGTGTGAGTTGCACAGAAAACCTAGACAGGAAATTGACGGCGACCTGGAACGTGGGCACCCCATGACGGTTTGGAGGAAGCTGCATGGAGTAGGACCTGGGCAGGTCAAATCTGAACATGTTCACTCTGATATAGAATTGGGGCATGTTCATGGCTGACATGCCCATGCCATGACAGGTAAGTGCATGCCAGGCATGCGCGTGCACATGCCCATGGAAACAGTGGACATATGAGCGTGCGCATGCACATGCACATGGACATGAACAATATGAGCATGCACATGCGCATGTCACATGCGCATGAAAACATTGGACAGGAACATTTTAAGCATGCCCATGAAAACTGCGCACCGAACATGAACAGTTGCCCAGCATACGCATGCACGTGCCCATGCGAAGTTGTAAGTGCCGCACGGAAGACATTTCCTGGAGCAAGAATCTAGGGAAAGGTACATACCTGACGGCCCTCAGGCACACTATAAGGCAACCACTCACAAAGGCCATGACCTCAGGAGCTGTACAGAGAGTCAAGGCACAGCTACTCATTCAGTAAGCAGTGACACTCCCACCCTGCATGTCACTCGACGCGCAGCTTTTCCAAGCAGAAACCTCCTGTAGGGCAGCGCCAGTCCTCAAACAAATGACGCAGCTAGCTGTATATATAAGAACCTTTGTCCAATGAGGCGCCAACCACATCATACATCATCTCGACGCGGCAGAGGCCTGCATCCATGAAGGGTGCCACTAAAATTCAATCAGCAATACCCACCTCCTGATGGGGAGCACAGCAGGTGGTGGCAAGTTCCAAACCTTGCCATCAGACGACCTTCGGGGAAGTGCGAACACAAAGTTTGCCATCGAACAACTAACACACATGAGCCTGGCAAGTGGAGGGAATCACATGGAAGCAGGAACGCGTGCCTGAAAACTCCTTCCTTCGAGTTGGTAGCCCTAGAAGTTGTCTTCAGTCTCTTATCTGGGGGCCAAATCCTTGGGTCTTCAGGCCGGCCATTGTCTTCTTCCGGTGCCACAGGCCCACCAGCTGGTTTAGGGCTGGTGGAAGGGGCTGGTACTTCCTCCTTCAACAACATGTCATCCTGGCAACATGACTGACTGTTCTCGGATGATCATGTCCGTGCACATGCTCATGCACATGGATGAAGTCCTTGGCAGGTGGCTTCTCGTCACCCTTTTGTTCTTGCTTTGGCTTGGGCTGGTGCTTTGGCATGGGTGGCGGGTACTGCTCCACTTCTGAGACCACGCGCCGAGGCTTCGCCTTTGCAGATGCCTCAATGCACAAAAATTCAAAGTGTAATGTAGTTGCTGCCCAAGCTCTGAACGCCCATCGAAAGCGCAGCTTTCTCCTGAGCCATAGCCTGCCAGCGATCAGTTTGTTTGATCTCCCTGCCCCAATAAATGCGTGAATGCACCTGCTCCTTTCCGCCAGCTGAGGTCTCCATCTTGAGTTGAAACGCTACGGTTAGAAACGCAAATGTTCACACACACACTCATGACCCGTTAGTGTGAACATGTACATGGTTCGAAGACATGCTCATGCTCATGGCGTGGTTCCAATTTACCATGGTCATGCTCATGGCATGGTTTCTACTATGCCAATGCACATGCTCATGCTCATGGCATGTGTTCTATGGTCGTGTTTCAGGGTTCAGGTAACACACATTACAGTAACACACTACACAAAGACCTCTTCCAGCGCGCACCAGCACTTGATCTGAGGCTAAAGCTGACAAGGACCCCAAGCACAGCGCTCCCCCGCTGTGAGCCCAAACTTGCCCACAAACACAAGATGAACTCTTGTTGCAGGGGTTTTCAAGCCGATAGGCCATATCAACCTCAAAACCCTTCATAAATGACATCTACTTGAAAACCCTCAGATACGCCAGTCTGGGCAAAATCTGCACATCGAGGGTCACAGAGTGCTGTGCCTGCCACGAAATCTGCAAACGAGCCACATGTCCAAAAGTCACGATTCACCGCACCTGTCACGAAATCTGAGCTTCTCGACGATCACCACCATGTCCAAAGTGCTGCACCTGCCACGAAAACTGCTTTTCGAAGCACAGCACCTCCGATCCCTTGCACCTGTCACGAAAAGTCGAATTTGGAACTTTGGAGCACCAAAACACGAGGTTTCTGTTGCGCCTGCCACGAAGAGTGACCACCATGTGCGAAAATGTGCACGGCACCACAACGAGAGCGCAGTCGCAGAGTCAGGAATGTAACGTAAATAGCAACGAATTAGCCGTTCACGCCCGCGCGCCTCAGCGATCTAAGCACACCTGCTTTTCTACTACCGTAAGAACCCCTCAGTGTGCCCACACTGTTTGGGGAATAAACATATAACTTTAATATATATATATATATGCAGTACCTAGAACCTGAGTGACCTCTATTTTGGACCACCAACCACCCAGAATTTTTGTCGTATCCGTCCTTTCCTATCAAAAAAGAAGGGGTACGGTCATGGTTGGGTTCTAGCTACTGTATGACTGTATGTCACAAGCCCCCGAAGTGTCTGGCTTGAGGAGAGTCGATGCGTTGTCGTACTTGTCCGCATCGATGATGCCCAACACAGAGACACGTTTCAGGTAGTCTGCGGGTGCTGACTGATGGGGTGCAAGGTGTGACTGGCTTGATGATTTTCATCATTATGATTTCCTCTTCCTACAGAAATTTGGTTTTGACATTGCCTTGCAAGCAAATGTTTTTTCAATGTCTTTCAGCCATTTCAATCATGGCTCCAAAGGTTGTGTCCCCCAGCCAAAACTGAAACTTCCAGAGCATTCATGGTGGGCCAAGCATGGGATCAACAAGCACTCTCCACCGGTGACATAGCCTATAGCCTGTCACTGCCTTAGCCAAATTATATTATACCGCCTTAATTGTGCTATATACAAAGCACGTGCCCTTTTTCGGAGTACAAGCGCTTGTGTGGAATTCAAATCATTGTTGGTGCGACTTGCTTTGCTTTGGCTAAGGCTAGCTCAAGCCCTGCTGGAACCATGCGGTCCGATGATGTTTTGGCCTACAACCAAGCAAATAAACAATGACCTGTTGTTCAGCCAGGTTCTGATCATGCCCAATTGTTTTTGGCAGGGTTTGATGGAGGCGACGGCGCTTGCAATGGGCCAACACAATAATGCGTTGGAGGCCCAAAGGCAAGCACGATATTATGCAAAGGCAGCAAAACGTCCCCTATGCAAGGTAGAAGGCATTCATCAGGACTGCAATCGTTTGAAGTCGACAGCAGTAGTTATTAAATACAATCCCCAGTCCACAGTTGACTTCCCTCTTTGGTGTGCAGGCAACCACTTGGAATGCAAACGTGCCCCATTGGCAAGAGTGTTGATAAACCCAGCTTTGCAACCCAACTCTTTCCCGGTCACCTTCCTCTTCGCATAGGCTTCAGCACAAGAGTCTTTGGGGCGACAAGCCACACCCTGCGACCGGCCTTGCCGACGGAATCGGCGACTGGAGATCGGCGACGGAAGTTTTGGATGAGGAACACCTGCTGGTCTGCGCAGGCGTATTCAGATTGGCCTTGATTTCTTCTCGCCTACACTTCCCTTCTTGTCGACCGGTCAGAAACGCCTTGCTCAGTTTGCTCATGTTTGCTCAGTTGCCCGCTGCATCTTCCCCGACGGCCAAGAACAAGACCTCTGATGCCTGCCGTATCATGCCAACGAATGGAGACCACGGGCAGGGCCATTACCTCGATGGCCGCCTCTTGCGACTCTTGCGTTTGGGAGTCTCTATACGACCCTTCGTAGTACGAGTAACGGGTCTAGGTGGGTCTGTATGCCACCACCAGCGAGCACCCTGAACAGGACATTTACGAAGGCCATGTACAGCGTGAGCGAGATGATCTTGGCCCTCCAGCGCGACGCGTAGGAAAGGAGGCCACTGTGATGGCCCATAAGCCTCCTTTCCTGCGCGACTGTGAGGAGCCGGGGAGCATGCGCAACTCTGCGGCGCAGTTCCTCGCAGTTGATAGCAATGAACCTCTGGACTGCCTTCGCCAAGCACCGGACTGCCAGCTCCACATGGTCCAAGGACACTAAACTATAGAAGGGGTTTGAAGGCAAAGGAAAGGCAGCATAGGAAAGAACAAATCAACAGGGTTGCGTGCAATGAAAGCACTGCTTACTTTACATCGTCCACTCTGATGCTTCCCATCCCAGTGCAAGTCTGAAAGTCCATGCCCGTCTCCTTTCCAATGTGTTTTTATCGAACATCCATGCAAGTGAAAGAGAATTGAGTGGAGAAGCTAGGGATTAGGAATTTACAGAAATGGAGGGACCAGAACAATTGTGGAGTGGAACAAAGGGAAGCTGGATAAGATATTCTTGGAGTGAGAATGCTGTAGTTGAATCAATATGATGGAGTTGCAGAGTCTTAAACAGAACAGTTCCATTGAAGACAGAAAATTGTTTGAGGAACGATATAGACCTCCAACCCCCCTAATGACATATGTACACTCTGACGAACACATCACATGGAAGTGGAATATGGGACCTGGAAGACTACTGGAGGTTTTCCACTTCCATGTTAGTGGGTCAAAGTGTACCTCGATCTTTATTGGACAAACACTTTTGTGCACTTGATTATTGTTTGAATGCTTAATTACATTTGATCATTTGAGGTTGCTGGTATATATATAGTATACTTCAAATCTATTTGACATCCGCATCGTCCTATCTCCCCATCGTCCGCCCGGTCCATTCTGCATCCTGCATCTGAAGAGGCACTCAGAACCATGCCGCAGGTGACGATATCGTATTCCACGCTCCTGATTCGACGGATGGACAGATCGAGGAGGTTTTTTTGCGCGGTTTTTGACGGATCGCGAATGTGAGCAGTGCAACAGTGAACAAAAATCATTCCCTACAGATCAGTTTGACCTATTTGACTGTAATTGGTCGCATCAAAACCCTTTTAGTGAGGTAAAGGGCCAGGTTTAATGAGTCTTTGGACCTGCAGGGATTAGTACCCCTGCCTGAAGTAACTCGGAAACTGCAAAATAAAAGCTGTTTTTTGGAAAGTAACTCTAGGGGTGGTTCGTCAGAAGCATGGAAGCCAGCGTTGGCCAAGTCGTCAAATCTATTCGGGGTTAAGATCTTTCACAAATAGTATTTGCTGGACCCTACGTGCACCCCAACCAGTAGATAAGGCCATGATTATATAATTGATCTAAAAGAGCTTTCACGCAACATCGGGCAGACATCAGGCAGAATTGAATAACCCTCAGTTCATGCGCTTTCGCAGTTCCAACTCGTTGATGACCCCTGCAGTCTCCACACATACATCTGCTTGAGGAACTGGGTGTGGGCTGTGACCATTCATGACCATTGCATTCAGCCTCTACTTCGGGAGTAATGGGTAGAAGAGAATCACAAACACATAGCAAAACCCCAATGTTTTTTTCACTGTCTTGCTGGCCTCAGTTGATGCCACTAAACCGACTAAACAAGCTCGGCTCTACCATCAAAACCAAAACAACAACACAGCCGGTATACCCCTGAAGGTGCTGCAGTTACAGTTATGAACCAAAAACTGGAGGTGAATCCACGATCCCATCGATCTACTCCTCTCAACCATCGAGCACCAAAATGCCACCGCTTCGCGCCAGCGGCCACGGCCTTCGCCCGGCCGTGCCAGAAGGGCCTGGCTTGAGTGCTGCAGGCGCAGATCCCAGTATATACCCTAGCTCCTGTCCCATATCCTCAGAAGGTGGTTAGACCCCCCTGGCACCCACCCGAATCACCTCTGTTCTGTTGGCCCGGGGGCCCCGTGGTGAAGCAGGCTTCAGCCAACAAGAAATAAAAAACATATGTAGCATCTCTGATGTCTTCACCCCACCTACTTTGCAAGTACTTTGCAAGTACTTGTATAAAGAAACAAACACACACACACACACACACACACACGCAGCGTGCGCCTTCAAAGAGAAGTTACAAGCTCCAAGGTCATAAGAAGTGGAGACATCCATCAAATCATTAGCAGGTCGAGCTCTTTTGAAGCTCGAGGTAGCAGCCAGCGGCTGCGGGCTTCCCCAACGGCACGGGCAGCCTAGATGTGTTGCTGTACTGCTTTGAAAGCGGGTTTCCCCAATGGCACGGGCAGCCTAGATGTGTTGCTGTACTGCTTTGAAAGGACATGTGGAGAAAAACAAAATGGTCAAGGTCAAGGGAGGAGGAATACCTGGAACTTTGGGTTGATCTTACACTCAGGAAGGTTTCTTTGGTTGAGTCAATGCCTTTAAACAGCGGTGAGCTCACTTAGTAGGAGAGGTAGATGTAACAAACTATTGTCGACTACCACAGCACCTAACGCGCCCATGGTTCCTGATATAGAAGTATTCCAAACCGATCCATACGCGCAACATAGGATTCCATCTAAGTCACTCCCCTGCGACGTCTTGTCACCCTAAAAACCGGTTGTAGAGGAAAATCGGCTTCCACCAGTCATTTCTGAGGGTCCATGTCAGTTTGCGGGAGAGTAGTCTGAAAGAACTCGTGTGGAATCCCAGCACCATGCCATGTCCGTGACAATCCTTGAGCCGAGCACGTCATTCGCCGGAACAAACTCACCCAAACACTCTGCCTGGATGGGTAGGGCAATCGAGCTGTTTCGAGGGGATATTATATATAGGTTCATCTAGCCTGAGCCGGGTGTCCTCCAAATAGCAAGTGGGTGTCCAAATTTCTACCCGTCCGGTAAGCTCCAAAGCACAAGCTGGCAGCTTTTTGCACGGACTCGCAGAATTTGTTGCAATTTGCAAACAATCAGCACTTGCAATCCCATTCAAAACCATAATGATAGCAAATAGCACCAAGGTCAATTACCACGCTCCACGCGCACATTGCAACCCAGCCAGCAGGTCAAAAGGTTGAATCTTCGCTTATGCTATTTTTCACTTTGATCGTCCATGTGACGCGACATTGTCCCCCCGCTACCACATCGCCTCAACAAGCCGCGGCTCTAAGAATCACGAAGCTTCAAGGCAACCTTCAACGGACGCGACCGTTTTACTCGACGCGTCGAACAACTCTCACCTCGTCCTAAAGCCCCTCCAGAAGCTTAAAGCTTCAAGAAGCACACGCCACAAACTCAATCAGGTTGTGGCTGCCAGTAAACTGGCACACCGGCTGCCAGCTAGCTGGCAGTCAAATAGCCTACCAAGGTTAAGCGCACCCAGCTCAAAGCCCCGGCCCTTCTGCTTTGGTCTTTGTTGGAAACTCAGGTGTCCTTACTGGACCAACACAATTTAACAGTAAAACCGTGACAAGTCCTTTATGCCAAACAGGTTTTGCAACACCTCATTACTCCAAGTGCAAAGCGGTTGGACCCTAGGTATACCAAGTGTTCGAAGTTTTCCTGGCCAAAAAGATTTGGCTGGCTATATTTTGATGGGTTTTCCTGGCCAAATGGATTTGGCTGGTCAAATTGTGACGGGTTTTCCCGGCCAAATGGATTTGGCTGGTCAAATTGCGACGGGTTTTTTTAAAAAACCCATCACATTTTTGGTGGCCAAATCCATTTGGCTGAGTGGTTTTGCGCAGAAAACCCATCACAATCTGGAAGTTCGGCTGGCCCCAGAAAAGCGATTGGTTTTTTAAAAAACCCATCACAATTCCATAGGTTTTGGAAAACACATCACTTTTTGAAGTTGGGGATGAGCTGGAAAGTTTGACGGGCTTTCGTTTTCCTTATTTAATTGCGACGGGTTTTTCAAAAAACCCATCACATTTTGGGGCTGGGGCCCCAGTCTGAAACGTGACGTGTTTTCCCGGCCAAATCAATTTGGCTGGCAAAATTGTGACGGGTTTTCCGTCTCCAAGGCCCCATTGATCGAGCTTGGCCGGGCGCAAGGCACTGAAGCTTCGGGCGCACATTGCACCTACAAGCTTCAGGTGTTTGCATCCGACTGCTCCAATTATAATCTTCCAATCCAAGATCGTTGAGCCTCCGCTCCTGAGCACCAATACAAGGTATATGTCAAACTGAGAAAGTTTCACACGTCCAAGCTGGGCATATTGAGCAATCAGCATATAAGCGCAGTGGTTGGTGCTTCCAGCTGGCTCAGGCAACCCTCGGGGCCGCACAGACCTACATCAACACATGACTCCGCAGAGGGTCGAGAAAGATCTGGCAAATAGTGTGAAGTACAAGTTGGACCGATTGAAGTTGCAACGTCCCGGTCAAAGTCAAGCCTTTCTTTTTGCAGCTCCGACAGGTCCACGTTCTCCATCCAAGTGCTTTAAACATCTTGAAGCGAAAGCTCTATCAAAATGTGGCGCAAAACTTTTGAAATAGTGGTGCTTGGCTGTGGCGCCAGAAGCGGTGGATTATGTTCCTGGTTGTGAGGAAGGAGATGGTCTCGGCGGACTCTTCGATCACACGTAACGTCTCCATCATCATCATATCTCCACGCTGGCATGGCTGCCCACTACGAAGAAATCTAAACTCTTGAAGTTCCATGACTGTATATATAGGTCAGTCTTGCGTGTATCAGGTGCATGTGGATGTTGCCTCATTCTTAGAGCTCTTTGCTCCGAAGCAGGACCAAATAAACTACATGGCTGTGTTACATGCTTTTAACGGAGCCAGCAAGAAACTTGACAACAAGGTTCTATTCCAAATCAAACACCCACTTGCTATTTGGAAGACACCCGGTTCAAGCTAGATGAGCCTATATATATAAACATGGGAATCATGTTGCGGGTATTTATGTATAATTCCCAAAGAAAGAGCCTTACAGTACAATTTCCAAACAAACATATCCAAACCAAGCTTTTGGGGCCTTCGATGCCGGAGTCCACAGGACTGGAGGATTGACCGGTCTGGAGGATTGTTGGGTCCGCTTAGCTCTTCTTCGTCCAATGGATTCTTGGAAGCTGTTTTTGTTCCAAAGAAGAACTGGGTGAGCGAAGTCGACTGGATCTGCGACTGTGACAAGCTGATCCTTGAGGTTTCCCAGCGGTGTAGCCCCGAATCGAAACCCTCGTGGACTTGTGGCATGGTCGGTTTGACGCATGGGATCCCATCCAGTGGATCGCATAACCCATGAGCCCTAAGATCCCTAAGGATGAAAGGCCGAGGCACGCTTTGGCAGACTCTTACACTCCTTGGATTCTGGTGAACTATGAAGGACACATAAGGACACGTTGTTGTTGTTTTTTTTGTTGTTTTTCTCCTTGGATTCTTGGTATGAAGTGGAAAGCCACCTGCGGATGCTATCCACTGCGATTTACAGAGAGTTATAGACCTTCTGGGATAGAGGTTTTAGAGAGTGTAGACCACAGGTCCACAGTGATCATGCATGCTCGAATGAGATGGTCCCTTTTCAAGACGTCTTTGAGATTCATTGGAACCCACATGGTTTGAGCTCCGATCAAAATAATTCGAATGACGGCTATCTTTGCTACCCCATTAGACTCCTGCACTACAAGATTTCATACCCTAGTGATAGTGATGATGTTGCATGTTGTATGCTTTTGTGTGGAATAGGAAGCAAGGTGTGGAAAGCTCCATTCTTTCTCAGGGATAGTCCCAGGCTCATCGCACACACCCTGCATCCCCGCACTTGCGGCAAAATATGCTATTAGTAACTTGACGAACTAGGGTTAGGATTCTGGAGACATGGTGTACACAAACCCATGCATTCCAAACCATTACCACGACACACCCACATACCCGGTCGACCGTCTCGGTATGTCTCAGAACTTCACGCCTCGATCTTCTCCTCCTCGAGCCCGCTCCGGTGTGTTCCGAGTCCGCGTGAAGGTCCGTGTGAACGAAGCCACAGACCGCCAAGTGAAACCCTACCCTATAGCGCTCCAAGTACCTCCTCAGAAGGCATTTGGACCCTTTAAATCCACCCCAAACACCTTCAAAACGAAGGTACGACTGGAGCCCTAGGGCTAGCCAAATCCCCCACCGACTTCGTCGTACCTCCTCAGGTTCGGAACGAGGACCCTCCAGTCCGCACCCGGCCCCCAGTCCCACCGAAACGAACCGAAACGATACGACTGGAGGCCTAGGGAGGATACGTAGGGCAAGAGTTCACAGCCAACCCCCCAAACTAAATAGTCAGAAACCCGTTTCATTCCTAGTCTTGCAGAGGAAAACTCGGTATTGCATATTCAGAACAACACCGGTATAACGTTTGCAGTAGAAAGCTGTAGTTTGCAGGTGCTGTTGACAATCTTGTGGATATGCCCATGCAGTTGACGTTGCTGACATGGGCAGCAAAACACAGAACAGGCATCCGGAACTCAAAAAAACCTCCCCTACCCGACCCAAGACTTACCAGTTCAACTGCCAAAGAAAATAGAAGGGTACCGGGTACACAGAATAATAGATTGAAAGTGCAAAGTTTTGTTTTGGTCAGGTAGATCCCAGCTGCACGTCTGCCCCTGGGAAGAAGCGGCCATTTTCCGTGCTTGCCTGGCTGCTTGCTGTGCGGTAGCTGAGAAAAGCTCCCGGGCCACGAAACAACCGATGCTGCATCGATGCTGTAACGACCCGCTCGTGATGAGACCGCAACAAACAAGCAAACCTCCGAGATTGGAAAATCATTGGAAAACGGCGAGGAAAATCTCTATATATTATATATATATGATTTTAAGTCAGTCCGAAACAGCAATATAGTGCAGCAAGCATGTTTCTTGAAACTGCATGATGTCTCTTCATGTCGACAAGTAATTATATAAGACTTGCTACATCCCTCTTGGCGACGACTTTGGTACAGAGTTAGGGGAGCTTGCCCCAAAGCTCACAGGCTCACAAAAGAGACATCAAAGGCAGCGGCTTGTCTCAGTGTTAAAGTTTGTTATCCGGTCTTCCTGCACTCCGAATTTGAACCTCGGATCGCGCAAAAACGAGAGAATGTTCTCCAATGACACAATTGACTCACTCGAACAATCAAGGTGTTCGCATACAAACAAACCCACGTGTTTCTTCTAGGAGAAACCACCGTTTTTGATGGCTTTTCTCTAGGGCACCTGGTCTCCCAAAGCTGTGTGGCTCGCCCGCGTGATCCGCTCGCCCCCGCGATCCGGTCGCCAGTTCGGTTGACCGGTTGACCGGGGCTGCCTACATACCCCTTCGGGCTCCTGTCTCATCTCCTCAGGTGGTTAGACCCCTGGCACCCACCTCGGAGGTGGGCCAGGAGCCCTAGGGATACGTCCTGACCCAGACCCAGGTCCAGTCTCCTGATCCTGAAAAGCTCACTGAGTAGGGTTCTGGTATGACCAACTCCCAAATGAGGTCGAACTGACCTGTAGGGTATGGTTTAACCCCAAACAATGTTCGGAAACTGGGAGACTCGAACTAGGGTTCTGAAAAAAAAGGAACTGTTGAATGAATCGGAATGAAATTGCTTTCAACGAAACGCCACAGGAAGTTGCACCCGATGGAAAGATTGCCAAATAGTAAGATGCAAGCACAGGGGCAGGGCCATCTTTTTCTTCAGTGGGAATGCACATGATGAACAGGTGGACAACTCCTTCCAAATTAAGCACCCTAGACCTCCAGTCGTACCTTCTGAGAAGGTATTTGGGGTGGGTGCCAGGAGGGTCCAGTCATACCTTCTGAGGAGGTGCGACTGGAAGGGGAGGGACATCACACACTTAGCACACTGAAGAGTCCACTCCCAACGCGACCAACTTCTCCCGAGACGCTCCCTGCGCTGGAGAACAAACACGCGCGCCACGCGCTGCAAGCGACGCCGATGCTGCGAGACCGGATGTCTTTCTGTTCGGCCGAGGGGCAGAGTCCTCCGGCATGGTATTAGGTATTCATAGTGTTCACCGCACGCAGCTAGGGCTCATCGACACGATCCGCATTCCCACTTGCATCCCAATCCCCATTCCTGCGGCACCGGAGTGCGGGGAGTGCCTGGTGTGAGGCCGGTGGAGGACCTGGAGGAGCATGCAAGTTGCGAACCAGCTGATTTAGTTTTATTGAATACAGCATGCAAGCAACTGGTTCCTATCAAACAGGCCTAGGGGATGGAGGAACTTATATCTCAGGGATACTATTGAAAAAGAACAGCATGGATTCTTGCGCAAAATAAAGTGGAGAATTAGGTCGGGAATGATGATGGAGATGGACTTAAACTAGCATACACCAAATATCTGATTTTGTGAGGCAACCCCCTGCATCCCAATTGCTTCCCGCCACTAATCAAAGACCGGTGCACAGGTGCTGCCACGACTGACTTTGGAGGGGATTCACATGTTCAAGCGGAACTGGTGAAAGTGTAGACCTGCTATTAAACCTCAACTTGAAATACAGTATTTGATCGAAAAACACATGCAAACCAATTGGAATGTGAACCTTGCAAATCAATTTCTATGCCAGTGAAACGAAATGTAATTTCCCTGTTCAAAAGGCCGTTCTTCAGTGTCATTCAATGTGCAAATCCATTGCATCCTCCCAGCTTCCTCTCTGTATTCTATGCAATTCTATGTGTGAACTACTCCAGTGAATCTTAGTGACTACAAAAGAGAAGCAAGGAACTGATCGAGTAATTTCTGGAACCAAACTACACTCCGACGAACACCTCATATGGAAGTGGAAAATGGCCCATTGGAAGACTGCGTGACTGCGTTCCTTAACGAACAGGAATCCTCCACTTCAACATTAGTAAGTCGGAGTGTAGTCGTAATTGGACCTATGGGATCTTGTAGTTTGCGAGCCACTTGTAAGGTTCAGGAGATTCCAAGCTTCCCCAACCAACAACATGCATTGCTTCGATACTGTATCGCTTGCCGCTTGGCCTAAATAACCTAAAATGCTGTTCTCTGGCAACGCCGGCCTACTAGTCACACAAAAGGAAACAACAAAATAGCACCTACATAATACAAAATGTTAATTCGATCATGCTATCCAAGAGACAGGAAACGCATGACTTCTTTACGCACAAAGTGGTTGCCATTGACCTCACGTTGGAGTTCATCTTGGAAGGATTGAAACATCTCCAGAATGCGCTCCTCGGTGCGGGATGGGGCCGGTGGCGACCCGGACGGCGGGACCTCGGGACCGCGTGGTCCGGCGTGGTCGTTGGGGAAGGCGTTTCCCGGGTGACCTGGTCTTCCATTCTGAAACCCACCAGGGGGGGGCGACTCAAACTGAATCTGGTCCTATCTATCCTATCTTTGGAACAAACATCCTCGGGTGATTCAACTATCTAGAAGTTTGAAGGTAGTGGGATTCCTGCTTGTTGTATCCACCAGCATCCCTATTGTCCCTCCACTGGTTGTGATTCGTGGCTCACACAGGCGTTGCTTAAGAATTGGTGATCGCCGCAAGGCGCCCCAGCTCCCTTTGTCCATCCCAAGCTCCAGGCTATGATTGGATGTTGTGATGATCCTCATGAAGCAGTCTCGAAACTCATCTTTCAACATCTTTCATCACCTTTCAACATCTTGCACACAAAAAGTGCTGCAATCAATATTTTATATTGGCAGGGATACTGTAATAGCAGTGTTCTAGGGAGTGTATGGGTGTTCAAATTTGGTTGATCTCCCCACTTTGGCGAGTTGCAAAGACACCAAAAATCATTCACTACAGTACGTAACATTACGTCACGTAGCATGCATGTTGATTCACAATACACCCCAAACATGGATCGTAGAATATCTTCAGAAGCTTGATGCATGTTTATACCCAAAGCCTGACTGACTTCTGTTTTGATAGGCAAAGACCATATTTTGGACAGTTGATCCTCCAAAACAGGGGTCACAAAAAGGCTCCAGGTTAATTTATATAGAGGAGCTTGATACGTAGAATCAAGAGCTTACATGACGTACGTCACGTAGCATGAAATCCCTGGTTCCCTGGACACCCCCAGTCCCGCCATTTCCCGCTCTGTGGCCCCGCACCTTGGTCTGCGTCCGCTCTCGCCGTTGAGGGCGGCGGTTCCCAGGCAGGTTCTTCTTCGGATGCGGTAAGTGGCAATATTTGCATCGGTCTGACATTCGGCAACCGAAACTGGAAGTGAAAAAGACACAGGGCTCGCATGTTCCTTTGTCATGGTCTTTGTGTTCCGTGGCCTGGGCGGGGCGCGTCTTCCGGCGCGGGAGTCAGTCGATGGATGGATTGGAATGGACTTTGAATGGATACATTACCATTCTGAAGAGGTTTGCTGGATGTTCATGTTTGCGAACCAAACTAAGTGACGATCAATCAGTTGACATGAGTTAGTTTATTTCAGGGCGGATTCAACAATAGTAATATAAGTATTTTTTGTTACGTACAGTATATATACATGTTTATACTATGTATGAGGCAATGCTCAATGCCAATATTAGCAAGTAACTCATAGTAGCATCTAACTGATAGTTAGGATATTGACTGGTTTTCCATTCTACCATATTCATGAATTCACCTCATCTTTTTTCGGCGCCAGGCAGCCTGCAAAAATGGGGATCCTGCCCCCTATCATTCACTTCTTCTGGTCCTGGTACCCTCCAGCTCGGAATCGGATTCTTCATGTGATTGGGCTCTTCTCACAGACCCGTTTGGGCTCCTGGCCCACCTCCTGAGAAAATGGTTGGGGTGGGTGCCAGGGGGGTCTAACCGCCGAACGTGAGGAGATGGGACAGGAGCCCTGGGGAGAATTGCTTTGAGGGAATATATACAGGATCGTTCATCGTTTTGGAGTCAACACCATGCTTTCCTGCGGATGTTTTCATAAACCAATCCATTGATCTTCACACCCATGGTTTTTCCTCTCGCGAAAACCCCAAAACCACGCAGAACATGGCGAGCGAAGAACTCGCACCATGAGAAACTCGCGCTTCTTCAGCTCAGCGGCCAGCTCTTCCATCTCAGCAGTAGGCTGGGGCCCCTGGTGTGGACCATCTGAGCTCGAAGTCTTTTCCGGACTCGAATCAACCCAGCTGGCGGCACCATGGACTTTCCTCACCTGGGCAGTGTTCATACACAACACAACGAAAGAACGTAGCTTGTGAAAGAGCCAAAGAAAAACAAGCATTGGTTTTGAGACATTGCAAACAAATACAACAGTTGAGGGTATTTTATTTGTGTCCAGGGACTCAGGGACTAACATCAAATGTTAATCTATAATATGCTCAGCGATGTTCGGCGTCTGTTAAGTCCCAAAACCTAACATGACACTGCGTCCCAAAACATCAAGTCTCAGCTAATCCATCAAGTCTCAGAGTGGGGTGGCTCTGAAAGACTTGCCAGGCAGGCTATACTATCCCTAGGGATCGAGTAAGAGACACTGTTGTGTAGGTGCTAGGAGAGTCGAGTCGTACCAAACCTGAGAAAGTACGACTGGATCCCAGGGGTATGTGGAGGCACTTCCTGAAGTTGGTCTGCTCAGTGTTCTGCGGCCCCATTGGAGACAAACCTCTTGTTTCACTTCAAGGGGCCTTCGAACAGCAGTGATCTCTGCCAGTTCTATGTTGAACTACGCACCAAAAAGAGTGCACACCAGCTAGTTCTCGGGGGTTGGGGCCGCTCTTCAACGGCTCGCACGGCTCTTGACCAGAACCCTAACTCATGGGGATATGCCATGAACATGGGCGTGTAATTAGCTCAAACAGGGAGACCGACCCCTATGAACGAAGCCCTGGAAGGTTCTGGAATAAATAGATCAAAAACATTCAAAAACCGCCCAAAGGGTTCCCTGGGGTCCCTCTTGTCATACACACTAATATGAAGAACATCTAGCCTGTTTGCTGTTCTCAAAAGGCACCTTTTCTTTCAGGGCTCCCGGCTCCCAGTAGTTTGGGTGCCCAGGTGGACAGTACGAAGGTACGACTGAACCTTCCATGCTGTAAAGGTACATCTCTCCCATCACCTGACAAAGTATGTGGCTCAATCGGGAATTCCCAGTCCCATTCTATTCTCCAGTCCCAGTCTTTCCCGGTCGCAGTCTTTCAACGAACGACCGGGCGAATCGCTGACGCCCGACGTCCGGACGTCCTTTGTTTGCCTCGGGGTCACCCACTGCGTTCTGCTGGAAGAGGAACCCGATCCCGGGCGTTGGCCATGTCCGTCATCATTCATTCATCTACACAAATCATCTGAGCCCAGCAGTCTGAGATGCACTCCGAACCGAAGCGTCTGAATATCTTGCGGCCCAGAGTCTGGTTCTGAGCTAGTTACTCTGGGTATAGATTGATTGCTGGAAGAGTCTTGCCCAGGTCTGCCAAGATCAATGTCTTGCAGCACCTAAAGCCTCAATCTGTTTGTGGATTCCAATGTTGGATTGCCCAAACCTACAGGCCACACAGCACCGTGGATGGAAGAGTCCTTGGCACCTGGGATGAAGCAAACCCTGCAAATCATCTGGTCACGAGCTCCAACTAGGCGGCAATTCGCGTCCTAGTTAGTCCAGCAACTAAGAACACACCATCTCTTGTTGCCCTATCAATGGTCATTATGAATCATATTTGTTTGAGCTCTCCATCTATCGCTGGATACTCCAAAAGAACATACTTCCTGGATCCTACATATTTGTCAGTATTTCTCCATGTCAGGTTGGTCCAGTCTTGCTCCTACGTAGAGACTGGAAGGTGAGAACTTCCTTTCCCAGGATGTATTAGTCCTAGAAACAAGCTTCTAAACAAAGCTACTTGGGAGCCGTACAGAGTGGCCACGGAAAGCGCTCTAGGTTCCCGATAAAGCTCTTGAATGTACTCAAACCCATTCAATTTGCAGGCTCAACTCATGGAAACCATTGAACCACCACCCTCTCACAACTCATAGACCTCTAGAGCTCTCCCTCTTAGAGTACAACACCTGATTTGCTTCGTCCTTTGGACATCGACACCGACCGCTCCCCGCTCCCCTCCCCGTCCTTGTCACCTATAGGCCGTTCCGTTCCGGCGCCCCGGAATGTTCCGCGGGGCCGTGCGGGGCGGGGAACCCCGTGTGTCGGCCAGCTAGACATCCAGTCGTAGCTCCTAGACCTCCAGTCGTGGTGATCAACTCAATGGATTCTGATCAACCAGTGTCGTACCAGTGATCAACCAGTGGGTTCTGATCTTCTAGAAGTCTTTGGGACCTCTTTCCAGACCACCAACTTCGTCGTAGCTCCGAAACGAATGTATGGACTCCCCTGGCACCCGGGCCCCCAGTCTCACCGAACCGAAACGAAGGTACGTGGAGGCCAAACGGGATATGGAGGAGTTACACTCGACTCTGAGGAACACATCACATGGGGAACCGTGGATGGCATGGTCTGGTTAAGGAACACTATGAAAGGAAAACGACTTTCCTTTTCCAGGTCGGAGTCGACATACACCAGGACTTGGTGGGTCAAAGAGACACCCCGCGTGAAAAACAGAGAGACGGCGGGCTGAGAAAACTATCCATGATGAGTTCTTGCATTGAATCTCATGACCCATCCATTGTAGACAACTATTCATGGATGTCTGACGCCCCAGTGTTTCAACTGTGCATTAACAAAGACGCGCGACGCACACAACAAAGCATGTGATTCATCTGTGGTTGTCCTCATTGGGAGTGACTAGGCGTGGCGTGGCTCGACCGAGACTTGACTCGGCAAACGTGTCGCTCTTGTCGCTTCGGGGCGAGAAACACAGGCATCTACCAATTGCTTGGTGGAGACGCTTTCTTGCTCTGCCACATCAAATGAACAAAAGGTGTGAAGATGTTGTATTATGTGGAGAGGGCTGGACATGAGGGACGCTGTTTATTTGTTATGTGGGCCTTGCACATTTCAATTTGGTGAGTGTATTATCGTTTTCCACGTTTTGAACCTTACTTATATTAAAGGTTGTTTTCACAATGCGGCAGACTTTTTGGACATGGAAGCAGGCGTGCGACGGTCAAAACTCCTTCTGTGTGGTAAGGTCATGGGTATCGCCTTCAATGGTGGCATCGCTACACACAGCACTGGCATTTTTTTGACTTGTCGCCTCTTGGTAGGAGCAGTAGTAGCAATAGCAGTAGCAGTAGCACTAGCAATAACAATAGTAGCCGTGGTAGTAGTAGTAGTCGTCGTCGTAGTCATAGTATAGTGGTGGTGGTGGTGGTAGTAGTAGTAGTAATAGTAGTAGTAGTACTAGTAGTAGTAGTAGTAGTAGTAGTAGTAGTAGTAGTAGTATATAGTAGTAGTAGTAGTAGTAGTAGTAGTAGTAGTCGTAGTCGTAGTCGTAGTCGTAGTAATAATAGTAGTAGTAGTAGAAGTAGTAAGTGGTAGTGGTAGTGGTAGTGGTAGTGGTAGTGGTAGTGGTAGTGGTAGTAGTAGTAGTAGTAGTAGTAGTAGTAGTGGTAGTGGTGGTAGCAGTAGTAGGACTTACTAGTAGCACCAGTGGTACTAGTGGCAGTAGTAGTGGTAGTAGCAGTAGAAGTGGTACTAGTAGTACTAGTAGTAGCAGCAGTAGTGGTAGTGGCATTAGGCGCAGTAGCAGTGGCAGTGGCAGTCGCAGTGGCGGCAGCAGCAGCAGGAGGAGGAGGAGCAGTACTAAGCAGTAGTAGTCGTCGTCGTCGTGGTTGTGGTTGTGGCTGCTTGCTCCGTGTGCACGGGGCTAATAGAGCAAGCAGACATGGGCCTAAATTTCAACATCTTTCTGAAGCCTGATCCTAGACCCCAAAGCCCAAACCCCAACTTCTGCTGGCTCCGTGCGCACGGGGGCTAATAGAGCAAGCAGACATGGGCCTAAACTTCAATAGGATACCCGTCTTTCTGAAGCCTGATCCTGGACCCCAAAACCCAACTTCTGCTTGCTCCGTGCGCACGAGGCTAATGGAGCAAGCCCAAATGCTTATAGCTTCCAAGAGGCGTTTTCAAGTATTCACGTTCATCTTCCTCCTTCTTCTGTACCAACCTACGAACTTCACGCAATAGATCCTTCTGGGCGAGGCCCTGGTTCCAAAGCTCGCACCTGGCTTGCATCTTGGCACACGGACTGCCCAAGTACCCACAGCGCAGAAAGTCGTACTCCGTAGGAGAGGCCCTGGGAGAAATGGAAGGCGTTGGGATCCCGAAGAAAGGCCACAGTGGTCAGCCTGATTGGCAAGGCACAATTTAAATACTGCCCTGCCACCACAAACCTCAGATAGCCCCCAGCTCCTGTCCCACGGATGTTTCTGTTGGTGACAAGGCCAGTCTGCACGTTTGAATCTGCCGGACATTGAGCAGATCTCTCTCTCAGCATTTTGCGGGCAATCGTGATGCCCAAGATCATGCCTTCAACGTTTTCCAAAATGCAGGACCCCCAGCAATAAGCAGCCCAAGGGGCAAGGGCAAACACCCACAAGCCACAAATCCCATGACTGTGAATGGAAGGCGCTAAGCCCTGTTGCAGAATTTGCTTCAAAAGAGCCGGCCGCGACGCATGATAGAGTGTAATTTCAGAATCATCCACTGCACTGCCATCCTGGTACAAACCTTCTTTGCTGGATGTAATGGGGAAGACTGCAGCCGTGCCATGAGGCATCCGACGCCAGTCTCTCGAGTTCGCCTCTATCCACTCAAACAACGGCTCGCCCGTTAACTCTCCCTCACTCTTCTCCGGACATGCATAATTGTAGACGTGTTCCAGCCTTTGATCTGCCCACTGGATGCTATACAGTGGTTTGTTCTTGTTGACCCCAGACACCTGTCCACATCTTCCTGTGTTGGACGCCAATCCCGGTTGGCTGGTGGTTGTGGTGGTGGTGGTGGTGGTAGTAGTAGTAGTAGTAGTAGCAGTAGTAGTATAGTAGTGGCAGTAGTAGTAGTCGTAGTAGTAGAAGTAGAAGTAGACGTAGAAGTAGTAGTAGTAGTAGTAGTAGAAGTAGAAGCAGTAGTAGTCGTCGTCGTAGTAGTAGTAGTAGTTGTTGTTGTAGTGGTAGTAGTGGTAGTAGCAGTAGTAGTAGCAGTAGTAGTAGTAGTAGAGCCATGTCTTGAGCCTGTTTGGAAGATAAGTTTCAGATACAAGTGGGGCACTGGTTTCGTAGCACAGGTTCGTCTACATGTACGTTATCGTTTGGTTATCGTTTAGGTTATCGTTTGACTACAGCTACATTTCGGGCAAACCTGTCGCCAAAGTCCGAAGTCAAAAACGGCTTTGGGAAAGGCTACACTAAGCAGAAACGAGGTTCCCTGATGGTCTTCATGGTTAGAACGCTGTACTGCAGCTATGCAAACTAAGCTTTTCATGATGCTATCAATATCTTATCGTTTTTTGATGGGTGTATTATCGTTTTCCAAGTAACACGCCAATTCTGCAATCCCAATGTCGGGTCCTTTACTAAATAGCTTTCCGTAAATAAATCAGGTTGCTCACATAGTTCCTCTTTCGCGTTTCGTTCAGTGTTCATTAATACACATCCAAGGTCAGCTACCCTTCCTGTCACCCTTTCAGTTGCTTGGGTAACAAGTCAGCAGGACTTGTGACAAGAATCACATACTACATCATACTACCCTTAATGGACCAGGTTAAGTCGCCCCCACAAGACACGTACACCACCACTGTCGCTTCCCATATGAAACTCTCTCAAAAGGAAGCTATACCCTAGCCTTCCGTTCGACCGATTTCAAAATGGCTGACCTGGTTTTTGAGTGTAAAAAAACCGGATCCGGATTCAGGCTATTAAATCCATGGTGGGCCAGGAAAATGCCGGGGCTTTTTGATGCTTTTTGCTTCTCCACACATCCACACAGTGCCACACTTCCGTTCCGTCGTCCACAGAGTGTGCCACACGTCTCGAGATACGTCGATCGGCGAGATCTCCAGATGCTAAAGGGTAAAATGGAGATGAACACAACATGAACATGAAATAAGTACCAAAAAACCTACAACAACCTATAGTTGAGATATGTTGAGATTGTCTGAAAACTAGTCACTGGCCTTTATCCGAGAACCTGTTCTCCACCAAAGCATGAACCAAGGAAGAATGAAGCTCAAACCGTTGGTCGGGGCCCGCCTTTCTTGCGGCTTCGTTCCGCCTTCAACCGTTGCGTCTTCTCCTGGCGAGGGCTGCGAGACAGGCGATCGTCGGAGGGTGCGAGCGGGTGGTAGGGGCACGCAGTCTGGATCTGCTGGGTGATCGAT